AGAAGGAAAAAGGAAGGAGGAAAAGAAGGTAAAAAGGAAGGTTTGGGAAAACGGAAGGAGGAAGAAAAAAGAAAAAGGAAGGGGAAGTGAAGAAAAACGGAAGGACGGAAGAAGGAAAACGGAAGGAGTGAAGAAGGAAATCGGAAGGAGGAAGAAGGAAAACGGAAGGAGGAAAGAACGGGAAGGAGGAAAAAAGGAGGAAGAAGGAAAAAAGGAAAAAGGAAGGAGGAAGAAGGAAAAAGTTGAAGGCAAGGGAGAAGGAAAAAAAATGAGGTAAGAAGGAAAAAAAGGAAAAAGGAAGGGAGGAAGAAAGGAAAAAGGAAGAAGGAAATTGGAAAGGAGGAAAGAAGGAAGGATGGGAAGGAGGAAAAAGGAAGGTAGGATGGCAGGAAAAAGGAAGGAGGAAAAAGGAAGGAGGAAGGGGAGGAAAAAAGAAGGAAAAAGGAAGGAGGATGAAGGAAAAAAGGAGGAAAAAAGGGAAGGAGGAAGAATGAGAAGGAAGATGATGGAAAAAGGAAGGAGGAAGAAGGAAAAAAGAAGAAGGAAGAGGAAGAAGGAAAATAGGTGAAAAAGGAAGGAGGAAGAAGGAAAAAAGAAAAAGGAAGGAGGAAGAAGGAAAAAAGAAGAAGAAGGAGGCAAGAAGGGAAAAAAGCAAGAATGAAAAAGGAAGGAGGAAGAAGGAAAAAAGAAGGAAAAAGGAAAGGAGGAAGAAGGAAATAAGAAGGAAAAAAGGAAGGAGGTTGGAGAAAGGAAAAAAGGAAGGAAAATAAAAGGAAGGAGGAGAAGGAAAAAAAAAGAAGGAAAAAGCGGGAAGCGAGGAAGGAGGAAGAAGGAAAAAAAAGAAGAAGATGTAGGAGAGGGAAAAATGATGAAGGAAGAAGGAAAAAAAGAAAAAAGGAAAAAGGTAGGAGGAAGAAGGAAAAAAGAAGAAGGAAGAAAGAAAAAAGAAGAAGAATTCCAGTCCGCTATTATATTTTATATGAAAAGTTCTTGCGGTTGCAAAACATTGTATCCAAATAAACCACAATCTGTATCCGAAATGGATAAAAATACAGTTGCAAGAAAAAGTATGTGAACCCCTTGGGATTACGTGTTGGAGTTTTGCAATGAATTGGGCACCCGCATAAAATGTGTGCTAGCTGAATGTCACTATCTAAGTCACCAAACAATAGAAGAAAACAGTCTGCTGAACAATAATACTACACAAAACATTAGATGTTGCTGCCATCGCGTTTAATTGCACATGAACATGTAAACATTCACATGTGCAGGGCGAGGAAAAAGTATGGTGAACCTTTGGACTTAATAAACTGGTTGACCCTCCTTTGGCAGCAAATAAATAACCTCAACCAAATAGTTTTCCGAGTTGTAAAGTTGCAGATCAGACCTTGCACAACGATCTGGAGTCATTTTGGACCACTCCTCTTCACAAAACTGTTTCAGTGTAGCAATATTCTTGGGATGTCTGGTGTGAATCGCTCTCTTAAGGTCATGCCACAGCATTTTCAATCGGAGTTGAGGTCAGGACTCTGACTGTAGCCACTCCAGAAGGCGTATTCTGTGCTGTTGCAGCCATTGTTTTGTTGAATTACTTGTATGCTTTGGGTCATTGTCCTGTTGCATCACCCATCCTCTGCGGGAGCTTCAGTTGGCGGACAGATGGTCATACGTTTTCCTGCAAAATGTCTTGATAAACTCTGGAATTCATTTTTCCCATCAATGACAACAATCCGTCCAGGCCCTGAGGCAGCCAAAGCAGCCCCAAACCATGATGGCTCCCTCCGCCATGTTTTACAGTGGGGATGAGGTTTTGATGTTGGTGTGCTGTGTCCTTTTTTTCTCCACACATAGTGTTGTGTGTTCTTCCCAAACAACTCAATCTTGGTGTCATCTGTCACAGTAATATTTTTTGCCAGTAGTGCTGTGGAAACATCCAGGTGCTCTTTTGCAAACTTCAAACGTGACTGCATTATTCTTTTTGGACAGCAATGGCTTCCTCCGTGGCGTGGTCCTACCCATGTACTCCATTCTTGTTTAATGTTTTCCTTATTGTAGATGTGTTCAACAAAAATGTTAGCATGTTGCCAGAGATTTCTGTAGGTCTTTTAGCGGACACTCTGGGATTCTTCTTTACCTCATGCAGCATTCTGCGCTGTGCTCTTGCAGTCATTTTTACAGGACGGACCAGACCAGCCTAGGCGAGAGTAGCAACAGTGCTAAAACTTTCCTCCATTTGTAGACAGTCTGTCTTACCGTGGACACATGAACATCAAGGCTTTTGGAGATACTTTTGTAACCCTTTCCACTTCATGCAAGTCAACAATTCTTGATCGTAGGTCTTCTGAGAGCTCTTTTCTGCGAGGCATGGTTCATCATCAGACAGTGCTTCTTGAAAACCAGTAAACCCAAAACAGGTGTGTGTTTTTTAAGGGCAGGAGAGCTGTCAGCAACACATTCCAATATCATCACACTGATTGGAGTCAAGGTTGGCTCACTTCCTGGCTCCAATTAGCTCTCGGGAGAAGAATCATTAAGCTAGCGCCTCACATACTTTTTCCTCCCTGCACTGTGAATGTTTACATGTTATGTGCAATTAAACCATGGCAACATCTAATGTTTGTGTAGTATTATGTTCAGCAGACAGTGTTCTTCTATTGTTGTGACTTAGATGACTTTTTCAGAGCACATTTTATGCCCAATTCATGCAAAACTCCACGTAATCCCAAGGGGTTCACATTACTTTTTCTTTCAACTGTACATTGTTGACTTTTCATTATAAAAAATATAATAGCGGACCTGGAATTCTTTTATTATTCTTGCTCCCCTGTCTCTGCAGGGACAGAAGTAATTATGGGGTTAAATGCCGGCCATAGACGGGATGAAAATCGGCCGATTTTTTTAGTTACTGTTGGGGGTAAACATCGCAGATCGAATGACTGATTTTTTTTTTTTTTCTTTAAACGTGCCGGTTTTTCGCCCCGTCTATTGCCTGCTTAACAACTCTTTATGGCTCCACACGGGGCGTTTTCATAACGCTGGTAACGTTCGCTGTGTAAAAGTCAAGTTAAAAACGTTGCGTTTTTCAGCATTTTTGCATTAGTGTTTTTCCGCGTTTGTGGGTTTTTAGCGGTTCTTTTGATTAAAAAAAAAAAAAACCCAAAAAACTTTTTTTTGGCCAAAAAACATCCAAAAATGTAGAGTTGCGGCATTTTACCATCTTAAAAAACTCCTCTAGACACCGCTAGTCCTGGGTTTTTTTCCAGCCCAAAAAAACGTTGATTCCAGTCTCTGTGTATGGAGACATAAGATAACATGCTGGGGGGTTTACTGGATGGAGGAAAAGACATCAAAAGCCAAAAACAGCCGCTGTAAAAATGTCCCGTGTGCTGGAGGACTAAAGCAGATCTGCGCTAAAAAGTGTTGTGATTAGAAACAAACTTTTAGAACAATAAACAGATGATTACCATGTCCACTGAGCCGAATGAATTTCCCAGGGAAACACCAGCGTACCAGAAGGAGATCCGTAGATCACCAACCTGAAATGTGGAAGAAGGAAGACAGATAATTTGCTCTAAGTCCAAACACATTCAAAATTGCCATATGGGCCGAGAGAGAACCCTGAATTCACTATATCCGCTCTCCCCGGACCCCGTATTCGCTATATATCCGCTCTCCCCCCCTGGACCCCGCATTCACTATATCCGCTCTCCCCGGACCCCGCATTCACTATATCCGCTCTCCCCGGACCCCGCATTCACTATATCCGCTCTCCCCGGACCCCGCATTCACTATATCCGCTCTTCCCACCCGGATCCCGCATTCACTATATCCGCTCTCCCCGGACCCCGCATTCACTGTATCCGCTCTCCCCGGACCCCGCATTCCACTGTATCCGCTCTCCCCGGACCCCGCATTCACTATATCCGCTCTCCCCGGATCCTGCATTCACTGTATCCGCTCTGCCCCCCGGACCCCGCATTCGCTATATCCGCTCTCCCCGGACCCCGCATTCACTATATCCGCTCTCCCCGGACCCGCATTCACCAATCTGCTCTCCCTGGACCCTGCATTCACTATATAACCTCCTGTCTGAGGCACGGCGAGTATTTCCTACCTCTGGATTCTTGGGGTTGGCGCTATGATAGAAGTAATTTCCTTCTGTGATGACATCAGCCTGTGGATTCCCCTTCTGCGTCAAACTCAGCAGTTTGAAATCGTTGATCTTCTCAACCAGACCTATAAAGGGAACAAAGTTAACCGCTCTTAGAGCCTTCCTTCAACCCTGATGCAAGCTGGATCTTGGTAGGAGTTCTGCAAATATCAAATCGCCTTTGATTGGTGGATGCGGTCTGCAGGGGTGGGCTGTGTTTGTGTGCGGAATGCTCTAGGTAACACGCTGAGCTTCCATGATTGAAAGAGCTGAAATCCAATGAATGAAAAGGGGGCGGGCCAGGGACGACCAGTCTGCTGATGTTGCTGGACTTCCTCCAGCCAGGAGAAGATGAGGCGGGTTGTGTTCAGTAAAAGCAGAATAGGGAGATTCCCATTAGAGGAGAGGAATCTGTACAACTGCAAAAAAAGTGTAAAGTCTACGGAAAATCTTACAGATCACTGACAAGATTCTCTCAGTTGATTTTTTTTTTTTAACTGGATATGTTTTATAGCAGAAAGTAAAAATAAAAAAAAAAAATAAAAAAAAAAGATATATACATACATACACACACATATATATATATATATTTTTAACTGGATAGGTATGTGTATATGTATGTATGTATTATATATATATATATATGTGTATTTATGTATCTTTTTTTTTTTTCTGCTATAAAACATATCCAGTTAAAAAAAAAAAAAAAAAAATCAACCGACTGGAGGAGAGGAGCCGCTACACCTGTGCAAGACTGGAGGAGGGGAGGAGCCGCTACACCTGTGCAAGACTGGAGGGGAGGGGAGGAGCCGCTACACCTGTGCAAGACTGGAGGAGGGGAGGAGCCGCTACACCTGTGCAAGACTGGAGGAGGGGAGGAGCCGCTACACCTGTGCAAGACTGGAGGTGGGGAGGAGCCGCTACACCTGTGCAAGACTGGAGGAGGGGAGGAGCCGCTACACCTGTGCAAGACTGGAGGAGGGGAGGAGCCGCTACACCTGTGCAAGACTGGAGGGAGGGGAGGAGCCGCTACACCTGTGCAAGACTGGAGGAGGGGAGGAGCCGCTACACCTGTGCAAGACTGGAGGAGGGGAGGAGCCGCTACACCTGTGCAAGACTGGAGGAGGGGAGGAGCCGCTACACCTGTGCAAGACTGGAGGAGGAGGAGGAGCCGCTACACCTGTGCAAGACTGGAGGAGGGGAGGAGCCGCTACACCTGTGCAAGACTGGAGGAGGGGAGGAGAGCCGCTACACCTGTGCAAGACTGGAGGAGGGGAGGAGCCGCTACACCTGTGCAAGACTGGAGGAGGGGAGGAGCCGCTACACCTGTGCAAGACTGGAGGAGGGGAGGAGCCGCTACACCTGTGCAAGACTGGAGGAGGGGAGGAGCCGCTACACCTGTGCAAGACTGGAGGAGAGGGGAGGAGCCGCTACACCTGTGCAAGACTGGAGGAGGGGAGGAGCCGCTACACCTGTGCAAGACTGGAGGAGGGGAGGAGCCGCTACACCTGTGCAAGACTGGAGGAGGGGAGGAGCCGCTACACCTGTGCAAGACTGGAGGAGGGGAGGAGCCGCTACACCTGTGCAAGACTGGAGGAGGGGGAGGAGCCGCTACACCTGTGCAAGACTGGAGGAGGGGAGGAGCCGCTACACCTGTGCAAGACTGGAGGAGGGGAGGAGCCGCTACACCTGTGCAAGACTGGAGGAGGGGAGGAGCCGATACACCTGTGCAAGACTGGAGGAGGGGAGGAGCCGATACACCTGTGCAAGACTGGAGGAGGGGAGGAGCCGCTACACCTGTGCAAGACTGGAGGAGGGGAGGAGCCGATACACCTGTGCAAGACTGGAGGAGGGGAGGAGCCGATACACCTGTGCAAGACTGGAGGAGGGGAGGAGCCGATACACCTGTGCAAGACTGGAGGAGGGGAGGAGCCGATACACCTGTGCAAGACTGGAGGAGGGGAGGAGCCGATACACCTGTGCAAGACTGGAGGAGGGGAGGAGCCGATACACCTGTGCAAGACTGGAGGGGAGGAGCCGCTACACCTGTGCAAGACTGAAGGGGAGGAGCCGCTACACCTGTGCAAGACTGAAGGGGAGGAGCCGCTACACCTGTGCAAGACTGAAGGGGAGGAGCCGCTACACCTGTGCAAGACTGAAGGGGAGGAGGAGCCGCTACACCTGTGCAAGACTGAAGGGGAGGAGCCGCTACACCTGTGCAAGACTGAAGGGGAGGAGCCGCTACACCTGTGCAAGACTGGAGGGGAGGAGCCGGTACACCTGTGCAAGACTGGAGGGGAGGAGCCGGTACACCTGTGCAAGACTGGAGGGGAGGAGCCGGTACACCTGTGCAAGACTGGAGGGGAGGAGCCGATACACCTGTGCAAGACTGGAGGGGAGGAGCCGATACACCTGTGCAAGACTGGAGGGGAGGAGCCGATACCCCTGTGCAAGACTGGAGGGGAGGAGCCGATACACCTGTGCAAGACTGGAGGGGAGGAGCCGATACACCTGTGCAAGACTGGAGGGGAGGAGCCGATACACCTGTGCAAGACTGGAGGGGAGGTCGGAGGGAGGATTTGTAGAAAGATCACCTGGGATTGCGATGGGCGATTTCTCGGTCAAAATGTCTGCTGCTCACCACCTCCGATTTCCATTCTGTATCTAAAAGGAACACAAAAGGTTTTCGGTGAGACAACTTTAGAAGTTAGCGTTTACTCCTGCATAGGACTAGTATACACAGAATGTGAAGAGGCGTTTCCATGCATCCGCCTCTATGGCTTGCAGTGAGGGGTAAAAGCACACGGATGTAAAAAAAAAAAATGACCTTCAACGGATTGAAAAGCCTTTTCCGCCCAGACCACAGGAGGGAGAGAACTGACGCTTTTCAGTGCTGAAATGACTTATTTAATGCACAGAAATTAATTTTGCTACCAATGGGGGGAAAAAATGATTTCCTGCCGTCACTGTTCTATGATGGCACTTACTGTATGTGTATCTCGTCTCTGTTTTTTTCTCTCCGTCTTCTTCATACTCTCTGTGAAAAAAACATCATTTAAAAAGTTTAAAAATGTAGAACTTTGGTCTAAATAAGTGTTTGCATGGTCTCAGAAAGCAGAGTCACTTAAGCTCACGCACTCGGGATGTTTTTACAGCGGCTGCTTTTGGCTTTTTTTTTTCTACAGCCAGTAAACCCCCCCCAGCATGTTATCCTATGTGTCCATACACACCGAGACTGGAATCAACGTTTTTTTGGCTGGGATGCTTTATGGCTGGAAAAAAAAAAAACGCCCAGCACTAGTGGGTTTCTAGTTTTTTTAACTGTAAAAAATGCTTAACGCTGAAAAACGCGGTAAAACGTCGCAAACCGGTGTTTTTGGACTTTTTGTGACCAAAAAAAAAAAAAAAAAAATTTTTTATATTAACCACTTGAGCTCCAGAGGATTTACCCCCCTTAATGACCACGCCTCTTTTTGCTACTCGGCGCTGCACTAATTCAACTGATAATTGCGCGGTCATGCAATGCTGCACCCAAACTAAATTTATGTCCTTTTTACACAAATAGAGCTTTCTTTCGGTGGTATTTGATCACCTGCGCGCTTTTTATTTTTCACGCTATAAACAAAAAAAAGGCCAAAAATTTTGAAGAAAAACAATATTTTTTACTTTCAGCTATAAAAAATATATAGTAAACTCAAAGTTGGTTATAAATTTAGGCCAAAATGTATTCTGCTCCATGTTTTTGGTAAAAAAAACCCCAATAAGTGTATATTGATTGCTTTGTGTGAAGTTATAGCGTCTACAAACTATGGGATAGATACTGCAATTTACGCCATTTTTCTGCTATACAGCGCTGCGCTAGTTTAAACGGACAATTGCGCGGTCATGCAATACGGTACATAAATTAAATTTGCAGCCTTTTTTCCCCACAAATTGAGCTTTTTTTGGGTGGTATTTGATCGCCTGTGCGGTTTTTTATTTTTTGCGCTATAAAAAAAAAGGCTGACAATTTTGAGGAAAAAAAAAAAAAACAATATTTTGGACTTTTTGCTATAAAACATGTCCAGTTAAAAAAAAAAAAAAAAAATGCAAAAATCAAATTTAGTCATAAATTTCTGCCAAAATGCATTCTGCGACGTGTCTTTGCTAAAAAAAAAAACCCAATACGTGTAAATTAATTGGTTTACGTGAAAGTTACAGCGTTTACAAATGGCGGGAAAGATACTGGGATTTTTAGGGGTTTTTTATACTAATAATGGCAGCGATCAGCGACTTATGGCGGCGATCAGGGACTTATGGCGGGACTGCAGCGGACGTTCTGACATTGGGGGGTACTGACTTGGGGTCACTGACATCCCCAAAAACACTAATAAAGTGATCAGTGCAAGAAAAAAAAAAAAAAAAAACACTGACACTGTACTAATGGCACTGGGGAGGAAGGGGTTAACCTTATTTTGCAGGGAAGGGTTATCGGAGTGAGGGGAGTGTTTTACTAGGGGGCGGGGTGTGTACTGCACGGGACACCGCTGATCGAGAGAGTGAAACTCTTCATTCTCGATCAGCTCGTCCTTGAGCTGTCAGGGAAGTGACAGACAGCACAGCTACTGCAGCTGTGCTGTCTGTCACTGTTTGCCGACGATCGCCGGGAAACAGCCAGTAAGCACCGGCTGTGACCCGGCGACTGACTTCCGCGGCGGTGATCGGTGGGACAGATAGGGCGGCGGCACCCCTCACAGCGCGCCCCCTATCTGTTTACAAAAACACGCGTTTTAAAACGTGGTTTTGCCTGCCCGTGCCGCCCTGCCGCCGTATTTCTACAGTGGTTAAAAAAAAAAAAAAACGCAAACGTGGCAAAACAATGCAAAAAATGATTAAATAAAAGCTGAAAAACTGAAGTTTTTAATGTGACTTTACACAGCTAATGTTACCAGCATTATCAAAACATCCCGTGTGCGTGGAGCCTAAATGACAATTGTGCGATCATGCGACACTGTACCCAAATTCAATTTTTATTTCTTTTTTTCCGCACAAATAGAGCTTACTTTTGGTGCCATTTAATCACCATTGTTTTCTTTTTTTTTGCTAAATAAAAAAGGAAAAACAGATCAAGCATTTAAAAAAAAAAAAAAAAAAAAAAAAAAAACACGAGTTTATTTTTTGTTTCGGTTATAAAATAAATAATCTTCTTCATAAGTTTAGACCAAAATGTGTTCGGCTAAATTTCTTTGGTGAAAATTACCCAAATCATTGTCTATTAGTCTGTAGGGAAGTTGTATCATGCACAAATTATGGTGTATATACAGTATATGAAAATGATTCAGTCCTTGACCCCCCCCCCCCCCCCCCCCCCCCCCCCAGATTCTCTCAATTTCTGAAGTGAAGAGAAACCTACACAATGGGGACCATGGTAGTTCATTGAGGACTACAAGCTGACAGCCGCTAAGGCGGTCGGGACTTGTAGTCTCTGAATCTGTATAGTAGTGATTTCATAATTATCAATCAGCTGCTGCACTTGCAGGGCTCTAATGAGGAAAGTGGCAGGGTCTGCATCCCTTTACCCCGGGTTCACACCTATGCGGCTGTTCGGGCCGCATTTTGCTCGAGCACGAGAGCCCATTAATTTGAATGGACTCCCGTGCCGGTGACACGCAGTAAAGAAGTCCCTGCACTTCTTAGGAAAACGCACGGGAATCTCGGTTCCCAGTACGGTTGCGTTTTCCAGTGGGGGGCGGCGTGCCATTAGAACTAATGGAACCCGCCCGCGGGTCCGCATTTCTCTGTGCGGGTGGTGCGGCTGCACGAATTTTTGTACGGATCCGCAGCGACACCACCCGCACATATGTGATCCAAGGGTCACAGAGGTCTGTGAAAGAATGACGCGGCCATGTGGGCGGTGCCCCGCGCGGCCACGTTTATTTTAACACCTTGACGCCGAGCGCACGCAAATATGCAGCCTCTTGGCGTCTGGGCCTTGATGCCGAGCGACCGCATCTTTGTGTGCACTTAGAAAATACATATATGCTGAGCGCTCCCAGCACATATGTCCGTGACTCACGGAAAGGTCCCGATCTCCCCTTTCGATTGGACACTTTTCCGGTGCGAATCACGGCGGTCACATGACCCTAAAACCCCGCCCACCTCCGGACTTCTGAAACTCTTAAAGGGGCGGGAGGCGCCGGCGCTAAGAGGTTAAATTTGACAGCTACCAACAGGAGAGAAGATCCCTCGCTAGCTATCAAAGTGGGGATCGGGGAGGGGGGGGGGGGGGGGGTTGTGTTGGAAAAGGGGGGTGCAGTCTGATCGAAACGTGTGACAACTGGAATATGGGTGTAACATTTAACAAAAGGTGAACTTATCCTTTCGGGGGGTTTATCTGACACACCAGTCAGACATATGACATATCCGGCATCACCTGATATTGGTCACATGGCATCCCAACTCCCTATATCGGCATATTTACTTCTGAGTTTGTTTGCTACTTTGTTTTCTTAGGCGGGGTTGAGCGCCTGTGTTTGTTTTACTTTGGGATAACAAGACTTTTAACCCTTGCAGTGCAGGGGGACCCCTCCAATCTGCTGGAGGTTCCTCTTTCTCTTGGTGTCAGGAAAACTCGTCAGCGGTGATTCATGCTGATAGCAGAGGAAGCAGGAAGCAGATAGAAATGACACTTAGTGCTCTGGACTGAGACAAATACACACTATAGAGGGATATGCTTTGTTCATATTTCATATCTGATGTTTACAACTACTTTAAGGTCCTGTTCACATATTGCTTAGCAAGAACGAGGGTTACATAATTAGTCTGGCTGGAAAAAAAAAAAAAAAAAAGACAAAAGTCCATCCAGGTCAACCATTAAAAAAAAAAAAAAAAAAAAAAAAAAAAAAGTTATAATCCGACACCCACAGTGGATCCAGAGGAAGGCAAAAAAAAACCCAGCAAAGCACGATCCAATTTGCTCCTGCAGGGAAAACATTCCTTCCTGATCCCCCGAGAGGCAATCGGATATTCCCGGGATCAACGTTCCCTATAAATGTTATATCCAGTTATATTCTGTGTATCCAAGAAAGAATCCAGGACTTTCCTACAGCAACCCACTGAGCTGGTCACAACCAACTCTGGAGGGAGTCCATTTCACATCTCTCCTTTTTCTCTTGGTGTCAGGAAAACTCGTCAGCGGTGACTCATGCTGATAGCAGAGGAAGGAGGCAGCAGACAGAAATGACACTTTGTGCTCTGGACTGAGACAAGTACACACTATAGAGGGGTATGCTTTGTTCATATTTCATATCTGAGGTTTACAACCGCTTTAAGGCCCCGTTCACATATTGCTTAGCAAGAACGAGGGTTCCCGGTTCC